TGTGGGGAAGGCATCTTGACCTGGGTGATTCCCACCTGTCCATCAAGGAGGCAAGACTTCAGTTCTCAGACTACCTGTCTCCTGGCCAGATCCACACATTTCCTCAGTTCATTTCCTGCAGGCTTTTAGTAGGAGCTGCTCAACAAGGCTCCTACAACTCAGAATATCTCTGTTCCTACTTATTTTTACCTTCTGTACTTACTTCCTGTTTTGCCTACTTTTCATCCTCCTCTCTAAGGGTGGTGCAGCTGCAGCAATGGAGGATTTAGAGAATTTCAACAAAGCCTCAGAGGTTGCTTCATCTCCGAGGAAGATGGGGACCCCTATCTCCTCCCTAAAACTGAAGGAAGGGACTACTCCCTGGTGTAGTCAAGCAGGCACAGACTTGCAGATAAGTTACCAGCAGCAGATCAGCAGAGGTGGTAAGAAGAACATGCCACACAATTCAACTATCCCTTGGAAGATGCCTCTTCAGCAGTTGCTAATTTTGGTAAGAACCTCTGTGCCAACAAAAATGGTGGATGCCAGGGCTCAACACTTATGGCTGCAGTGAAGTGGTCAAGGAGAGGGAGCCTCACCATGAATCAAGAGACTTCTCCCATCCCTCCCAAACCCCATTTTCTGGATGCCTCCCAGAGTAGCAAGTTGGCTATGGCAAGCAACGTCGAAAGAGTTTAGGTCCCTTCAAGAGCAGGCTGCGGGAGTCAGAAAATATATTGTTCAAGATCCTTCTCTCATAGCATTTAGATGAGGGAGCAGTGAGGATTCCTCAAACAGGGGGCTGATTACGGGGCACTAATCCTGGTTGACTAAGGCAGCACAAAAATCTGTAGTGGTTCATAGTCCCCACTGCACAGAGACCCAAGAGCTTCCCTCCTGGGATTCAGGAAAACTAGACAGTTCCTTTGATAAGGAAGACAAGGAAATGTCTGAGGAGGCAATAAGGGGCTAATAGCCAAGGCTGTGATAGCACTTGGTCTCTCAGAACACCCAGAAACGGGCAAAGAAGAGAAAAACACTAAAGGCAAACCTCAAGAGAATAAAGAATTTCCCCCTAGGTTACCTGGTGAAGAAAGGGTACTGTTATTTCCAGAATTCTTTTGAGACTCAAATGAGGAATGGGCTAACCACCAAGTAAACAAAACCCAGGCCTAACAAAAAGGGTTTGTTCTCTCCCTACCAACACTATGGATTTTTACAAGTACCATGCTATGGCATTGGCAGTCACTGCACATAGAAATCTGTGGCTCTGAGCAGGGCAAGCTAATTACCATTCTAAACTAATCTCAGGATCCTTCCCATTCCAGGGAAACTCTTTAGAGACAACTTAGACAACATCCTAGAAGCCAAAGATAAAAAGAAGGCTATGCCTAGAGCCTACCAGAAATGAACCACAAATCTTATCACCTAGCTCCCCAGAAATAAGGGAAAGAGGGACTAGCTTCACTAAGGTCCGAAACGTTCTCAGTGTTCCCTAATGTTCCATTGCTCTGAAGAGCAGATAAGCAAATGTAATTACCGACACCACTGAGAGATGCACTGAATCAGATTATGCTTGTATGATGTTAACTACTTGGTACCAATTAGAAACTCTTCAATGTGTAAACTATATGTGATGTCATTTGGGGTATAAGACCTTCTGCCCTTCCTTGTCATGGCAGAATACAGTTTTGGAAATGCTGAGTGCAAAGGCACTCAGCCCTGTATTCCCTGTTTCAATGCATTAAACAGATATTCATCTAACTCGTTGGACTCCGACTGTGTGTTTCCAATTCGGTACGGGAGCACACCAGCACAGATTTGTGCATCAGAGAAAACATATAGTCCTGCATTTCAGAAGTGACCAGCAACACCCCAACTAGACAGAAACAGAGAAGATAGCAGACAAATATATTACCAGTAAAAAACAAAAACAAAAAACCAACTACAGTCATTTAATTGGGAACAAGCCCTATCAAAAGAGAGCATGGTTTCAAATCCCCCAAGCAGGAGGAAAATTAACCCACTTTCTTCCCCAGTAGAGCTGGTCCAATGTGGCCCAATGGGTAGTGGACATAATAAAGGTGGGATACTCAACAAAATTCAAATGTCTACCACCAGACCTATTCTCTCATATCCAATAAACACCTGTGGACTATGGAAGCCATTAATCAGCTAGCAGATACTGAGGCTGTAGAACAGGTTCCTGATTGTCAAGTGCTATCAGGGGTTTACTCAATTCCCTTTGGGTTCACCACAGTTCCAAGAGTAGCATTTCTTTGTCATCAAAGAATACATGTTCATCCATGCCAGATGACCTCTTGTACCATCTCTGAGCCTGGAACAAGTGCACACAGACATTCTAGCCACCTGTCAGTGCCTAACCTACCATGGGTTTCTTACTAATTCATCCAAGAGCAACCTAAATTTATCACAACAAACAGAGCGCCCAGCGGTCATAACAGACTCCTACAGAAACTGGCTCTACCTACTGTAAGAAAAAATCCAAAAGATCTCTGGCATGGTAAGGTAACTAATACATTCCAGGTCATCTGGCAAGACTACAGGACTTAATTATTGCCTGTTTGGACTCAGTTCCTTGGGTAAGGTTCCATTCTCGTCCCCTCCAGTGGCTCCTAAGACTCTTTCAGTTACAGATCCTTTGAAAGGCAGATGTCCCTTTAGACTGCAACTACCTGGTACAACAGGACCTTGTCTGGTGGATTTAGTTGTCCAGTTTAGTTGCCCAGCATAATCCAGGTGTTTACAGATGCAAGCCTGAAAGGCTGGGAAGCAATCTGTCAGGGAAGATATGCACAAGGGATATGGAACTGTGCAGAGTGGAAGATGAATATCAACCAGGGTTTTCTCGATTCCAGAAGCAGAGCAAACAAAAGCCCTGATATTCCTCTGGCCACAGCCCCCAACTGGCCATGCAGACCCTGGTTTTCAGGATTTCTGGAATTATCAATAGAAGATGTTTGGCAGATTCTAATCTGTCTCGACATGCTTCAGCATTGGCCATCACAGCACCCAGACTCAGCAAGGCTACACCTGACTGCACCAAAATTAAAAGGGAAAAGACAACTGGGACTAGGCTATTGTACATCAGTCACAAACACCATGCTTGCCTCTAGAAGAAATTCTGCTTCTAGAATTTATAACTAACACCTCTTGGAGGACATATGCTAGTAAAAGCAGCCAGCTTTAAGCTTAATAAAGTGGTATTGCATATATTTTAATTCCCCCATCCCACACAATTCTTTTCTCTCTTGTACATCTCTAGGGATAGTCACAGGCGTGCGCATATTAAGACACACAGATAATTCTGTAGTTATGAAGTGGCTAGTAACTTGTTCAACCATTGAGGCCGCTCATGGACATTCTGGGATGAAAGCTAATATGATCTAAAAAAAACAATCTAAGTTGCAACCGGTCACAAAGTAATTTGACAGTGGTTCAAAACTGTATATTGATTCATTAGCCATGCCAAACTCTTTTCTACTAATCAGTGTAGCGACTGTAGGATGTTACATACCAAGGAATGTCTCTTCACATGTTCTCTTCGAGTAAATAGCTTTCCACAAATGTCACAGCTGAAAGATCTCACTCCTGTATGAATGAGCAAGTGTCTCTTTAGTGTTCTTCTGTATTTGGCTACGTAGTTACAATGTGGACACTTCAGTTTGTTCATGATTAAGGATGAGTCACCTAAAACCAAAACACAACCAGTTTAGTATGATAACAGATGAAGTCAGTATAATTTATTAAATATTTTACTATTCATAAATATTACACTCACTGATTATTATTAATAATTAGGAACATGCATTTTTAAGACGAGTACAAATCTCCATTTGGTTCTCTGCCTTGCTAGGTGCACATACCACTAAGAGACTGGTTATAAAAGTCTTAAACATGTAAAGAAAAGCTCTCTTGCTCAACTGCTCTATGAAGATTCATTCAGTTTGCAAGAGCAGATGCAGGTTGGTTTTTTATATTTGACTGGCTGGATGCTATTAAAGAAACTAACCATGAAGTTTCTGGGTTGATATGTTTTAGGCATTGACTGCATGCAGGTCTAAGTAGCTGAGCTAGTCCAGGATTTCTCTGTGTGCTGACATTCTAATATTCATCTGTGTAACAATAATTGATAGTTTAATGTTATCAATTTTAAAAACCTCATCGACAAAGCCTTATGAAAATGACTGAAGAGGTCATATAAAAATTATTAGATTCATGTGATGCTTCTGATCATGGGCTACCCATTAATGCTATAATCTTTAAAAGTACACACACAGAAATTATGTACCACATAAATACAGCTGTGTTCTGTAGCATTTGTGGTTCATTCTTGATTTTAGATCAGTGAGATGGAGCAGTAAATTTTCTGGTGCTACTATACAGAAAATTTTCACCTCACATATGTAAACATAGCCTATTTATAGTTGTCAGGACTGTTGTGCTGAAAAAAATCACTTTAGTTGTGCTAAATGTAGAATATGAAGCATGGACAACCCCCAGTGCTGGTACATGGACCAAGCTTGTACATGGTACATTTGCCTTCTTCTGTTAACATTATTTAATTTTAAATATCTGGAAAACTCATACATTTGCTTGAGACACTGAGTACAGAGAGCAAGGGACTTCGAGTAAGTGTATACCATGTAAAAGCAACATCATAGGTTATTTACATCCACACATGAAGAATGCTTTGGGTTTCAGCAACATACAAGATTGTATTTGTTCATGACTAAATTCGACTGGCCTGAACCAGGCAAAAACATAAAGTTTCCACATGTAGCAGACATGCCCCATCACAAACACTAACAAAGAAAACATGCCCCATCACAAACACTGACAGGGAAAAAAGCACCTGTATGACTACTATAACAGGGATGAATTGCTGCTACCATATGTCATTTATATTTATCTATACAGACACAGAGGAAAACAATAGAATGGGAAGGACTAGAGATCTCTTCAAGAAAATTGGAGAAATCAAGGGAGCGTTCCATGCAAAGCTGGCCATGATAAAGGACAAAAACGGTAGGGACCTAACAGAAGCAGAAGAGATTAGGTAAAGATGGCAAGAATACACAGAAGAACTATACAAGAAAGACCTTGATGTCCTTGACAACCACGACGGTATAATCACTGACCTCGAGCCAGACATCCTGGAATGTGAAGTTAAATGGGCCTTAGAAAGCATTACTAACAACAAAGCTAGTGGAGGTGAGCTATTCAAAGTCTTAAAAGATGATGCTGTTAAAGGGCTGCACTCAATTTGCCAGCAAATTTGGAAAGTGCAACAGTGGCCACAGGATTGGAAAAGATCAGTATACATTCCAATCCCAAAGAAGGGCAATGCCAAGGAATGTTCAAACTATCGCACAACTGCACTCATATCACACGCTAGCAAGGTCATGCTCAAGATCCTACAAGCTAGGCTTCAACAGTACGTGGATAGAGAACTGCCAGAAGTACAAGCTGGGTTTCGAAGAGGTAGAGGAACTAGAGATCAAATTGCCAACATTCGCTGATTATGGAGAAAGCAAGAGAGTACCAGAAAAACATCTACTTCTGTTTCATTGACTATGCTAAAGCCTTTGACTGTGTGGATCACAACAAACTATGGCAGGTCCTTAAAGAGATGGGAGTACCAGACCACCTCACATGTCTCTTGAGAAACCTGTATAAGGGCCAAGAAGCGACAGTTAGAACCGGATACGGAACAACTGATTGGTTCAGCATAGGAAAAGGAGTACGACAAGGATGTATACTGTCACCTTGCTTATTTAATATATATGCAGAGTACATCATGCGAAATGCTGGCCTGGATGAATCACAAGCGGGAATTAAGATTGCTGGGGAAAAGATCAACAACCTCAGATATGCAGACGATACCACTCTAATGGCAGAAAGTGAAGAGGACCTAAAGAGCCTCTTGCTCAGAGTAAAAGAGGAGAGCGCAAAAGTGGGCTTGAAGCTCAACATCAAAAAAACTAAGATCATGGCATCCGGCCCCATCACTCCTTGGCAAATAGAAGGGGAAGTCGTGGAAGTAGTGACAGACTTCACGTTCCTGGGATCCCAGATCACCGCAGACTGTGACTGCAGCCATGAAATTAAAAGACGCCTGCTCCTTGGGAGGAAAGCGATGGCGAACCTAAACAGCATGATAAAAAGTAGAGACATCACCCTGCCAACAAAAATCCGCATGGTCAAAGCAATGGTATTCCCAGTAGTCATGTATGGCTGCGAGAGCTGGACTATAAGGAAGGCCGAGCGCCGAAGAATAGATTCTTTTGAACTATGGTGCTGGAGAAGACTCTTGAGAGTCCCTTGGACTGCAAGAAGAACAAATCAGTCAATCCTCAAAGAAATCAACCCTGACTGTTCCCTGGAAGGCCAGATAATGAAACTGAAGCTCAAATACTTTGGCCACCAAATGAGAAGGGAGCACTCACTGGAGAAGACCCTGATGCTGGGAAAGATTGAAGGTCAAAGAAGACGGGGACGGCAAAGGATGAGATGGTTAGACAGTGTCATAGATGCAACGAACATGAAATTGAGCCAACTTCAGAGGACGGCGGAAGACAGGAGGGCCTGGCGTGATCTGGTCCATGGGGTCGCGAAGAGTCGGACTCGACTGTGCGACTGAACAACAACAAAATACAGACACAACTAGCACTTAAAGAATAACTTTGCCACTAAACCTACATTTATCAGATTCATGGAAGAGGCTGACTCCTATTACTCTGTTCCTCTGATATAAACTGCTGCAGACAGCATTTTAAGGAACATTAGAGGAACATGCTGGTGCCAACAAAAAGAACTTGTAAGATCCAACTCCGCATATTAATGGTATTAGATAAGCAGAATTTTTTTTTAGTGCAGTACAATCTTCAGTGTTCCCTCTATGTGCATGTGTAAGCCCTCATTAACACAGGAAGCCCCACTCAGCAGCAATCTGGAGCCCCACAGAATCTTCACTACCCATTGTTCATTTTAAGATTACAGAAT